AAGACTAAAATCATTTATCTTACTAAAGAGGGTTTTAGTATTTAGAAATTTACAACACGAGCATAGGTACGTCGAGCGAAATAATCCAAACAAGGAAACCCTCATGTATATACCTTGTATCTCAAATTGTAAATCTCTAAACACCAAACCCGAGGTTCTAGTACAGAAACAATAATAAAAGAAATACAGCAAATCTCAGAACATTATATAGTGGCATACCAAAGCTAACATGGAAGACATGTTATTATTTACATAAGTGCCTTATCAACATCATGTCGTAGTTTCCAAACTCATGAAATAGGTGTCAAATAGTCCAACACGAGGACTTCTATAAATCACAGTCCAACACGAGGACTTCTATAAATCACAGTCCAACACGAGGACTTTCATAAATCACAGTCCAACATGAGAACTTCTATAAATCACAGTCCAACACGAGGACTTTCATAACTCACAGTCCAATCTCAAGGACTTCTATAAATCACAGTCCAACACGAGGACTTTCATAACTCACAGTCCAATCTCAAGGACTTCTATAAATCACAGTCCAACACGAGGACTTTCATAACTCACAGTCCAATCTCAAGGACTTCTATAAATCACAGTCCAACACGAGGACTTTCATAACTCACAGTCCAAATCTCAAGGACTTCTATAAATCATAGTCCAACACGAGGACTTAGAAACTGTAAAAAATATCAATGTGGTATATAGTGAAAACTACTTATGTCAATTCATAATCATATCAGTGTATATATCCAAAATTATTGCTCTCAGGTCATCTATTGTGCCTGGGTACATAGCAAGACTAAATACCAATGTCAGATAGTCCAGTCAAACTCCCAAACCTGAACAGAACACTCAAAAATACACAGAACAGGGAAAATGTCACAGACAGTGCGTCGGTCGACCGAGTCGGTCGACCGATCTCTGATACTAACCTGGCGGTCGACCGAAATAATGTCGCGGTCGACCGAAATAATCGGCGGTCGACCGAAATGACGAAGCGGTCGACCGAAATAATGTCGCGGTCGACCGAAATAATCGGCGGTCGACGCGGTCGACCGAAATAACGGGCGGTCGACCGAAATAACGTCGCGGTCGACCGAAACCTCAAAACGAGCTCAGCGGTCGACCGCGTCGGTCGACCGCCGAGCGGACAGAAACCCAAATCTGGGTTTCTGTCAGCTCGAAACCTGAAATGAAAATTTGCAAATCTCTACGATAACAAGAGTTCTAAGGTTTTAAAATCATACTGAACATAAACAACAAATCTCAGGCTTGAAATCTATACTTCCAATATTATAAAAACATGAGAAACAATTTCCAAATCGTTTAAATGACAGTAAAAATGATTTAGTTCTTGTTTAGGCAAAATTTTAGATCTAGATCGTCATCAAACAAGTATTGGGTGAGTTTTTATAAACTAAAACATCTGATTCATATTATTATACCATAGAGAAGTCGTTTCTTAACAAAAATACTATTTTGGCTCATCCAAAACTCAAAAATCCAAAATAAAGATCATGGAAAACAGGGGTGAGGGATTGGGTGAGATGATACTCACCTTGGGTGTTGACGAACGTTCTGGAGATGATTCTCCTGAGATCCAATCTGCTGAAATCCCCTGGAACTCCTCCAAACTCCTCAAAGATCACCAGAGGCGGCTAGGGTTCTGAGAGGGGAGAGAAAAAGGGGCTAGGGTTTTACGTTGAGATGAAGGGAGAGGCTCTCCTGGGTAGGTTTAGAATATATACCAAAGCCCTAACCCGACCCGAAACCCAATAAGACCAAAATAAAAACCGTAAAAGAAATCAAACTGGAAAACAAACTGCCTTCTGTAGGCATTTCACCTGCTGGACACATATCACTCGATGTCTCTCATATATAAACACCTGTTGGGTTCCCAAACACTGATAAATATATACATCTGATATATTTACATGATTATAAATCATAAGAGAATTATTCACTATTAATAATTCACATATTTTTATTATAGAATTTTCGGGGTTTTACATATAATCTCCATGATGGTTAATTTTAGTCGATGTAAAATTTTAGGTAAACGCCATTATGAAAATTAGGTGCAAAAAATCAAAATGTTTTGAGTGTTTTCCTGATATTATCAAACTCACTGATGATTTAGTAGAATATCAAACATTTTGGGAGTTTGGTGCCCAATTTAAAGTTATGTAAGTTTTATTAAAATTTACTTTTTAAAGGAAGGACACATTACATTTTTGTATTTTTTCATTATAAATAGTACAGTTTGTCTAGGATTAACAAATATTTGATTGTTGGAATTTTACTTTGGATATTCATAGTTTTAGTTTAATGAGAATTCTTAGAAAAATAGAACCGCTTAGAATTAGTCAGACGCATGTCATTTTCTAATAGGACAGAGAATTAGTTCTCTCTTTTCATATCAAATTTTGGTTAATGATTTTAATTTTAAAATAGTTGAATATAAATTATTAATTAGGATAAGATTAGAATGTAATATACAAAAGGGTTAAGGATAATATTGACTATAAAAAGTTTCCCTCAAATTCACACTTTTATAAGGAGTATATGTATGATATGATATGATTAACTTTAGGATATATGCGTGCTCCCAGAAATTCTCATCGCTACCAATTTGATAATATTTCAACTCTTAATATTTGTCCAATTTATTATTAAACGTACCAAAATCCTATTCCAAAAAAAATTAGATAGATTTAAAATAAAATAACAATATACTTAATTTTAAATTTTATAAAAAATTATGAGTTAAAAATTTCAAATTTAGCATATGACTATCACATGAAAATTTTCTAATAGAAATTCTCATGTTTGAATAACTAAGAAATTTTAAGTGTGAAATTTAAAACTTTAAAATTAGCCATTTTTTTCATTAACCATCAAAGAAGGGAGAGAGAGCTCATATATATAGAGAAAGAGATGTCAACATATCAATGATCCATCCTATGAGTCATGCCATGAGTCGTCCAAAACAATGAGTTATCTTATGAGTCATGCCATGAGTCGTGAGAAATAGTTAACATATCAATGACTCATCCTATGAGTCATGCCATGAGTCATCAAATGTCAAAACCTATGTGCTTAAAACTATGTTCCCAAACCATACCACCTAATGGCTCATCCTATGACTAATTAATCATGGTATAGTTAAAATGTGTATTTCATAAATGTTTTGCATAAGAAAAGAAGAGAGCTCTACCTCTTACTATCCTATCAACTACAAGGAGGTTAACTATAATAAGGAGAACAAGCTAAGGGGTGTTCGATCTACCATCGAATCACGCTTGAAAAGTAAGCTTTTGTAACTCTTGGATACTCTCTTTTATATAGGAATCATGTTAGATTTAATTAGGATGATCATGGTGTGGATTTCATGCTCTCTACGTGCTTAGTATTTTCGTATTTACATTCTTCTGCTTCGTATTTTGCATGTAGCTTTCACAAAATTCGGTCATTCGTTTGGATAGCATGGTGTTTTTCTTGTTGTGTTTTTGTAAAAAACACCATGATGTTGTGTTTTTCTCTTAAAATATTTTCAAAACACCATGTTAAGTATTTTTGATCAACACTAATTTGACTTATTATAACATTAGTATTAAACATATTATTAATATATTATATATTAATTATAATAAAATATATTATAAATAAAATATTATAATATTTAGTTTATATTATTATAGTATTATAAGTTTTAAATGTAATGCAATATAATATTATATAATGTAATAATAATATTATATTATACTTTAATGAGTTATATTATATTATAATTATTACATATTATTTTCAAATAATTATATATTTAATTATTTTGGTATATCAATTTGTTATTGTTGTATTATACTAATATTTTTATAATACTTTATTTTATTATAGTATAATATTATACTATTATTAAATATAATATAATATTAATACTAATTATTCATAAAATAATAATTATTAATAATGTTAATATTATTTTATTAATAGATTAATATATTAAATATTTTAATATTATAGTAATAATATTATTTAGCAGTTATAATAGTACTTTAATAATATATATGTAATAAGATATAAAATACATATTATATATTATAATATATTTGTTTTCACATTAACATTTGTTAGTAATAAATATAATTTATTATAAAAATTAATTTTATTTTATAAATAATTATATTATTTATTACATAATTAATATAATATTTATATAATTAATATTACATTACTAAATATAATATGTATTATAATATATTATATTTATATATGTTATAATTTAAATATGTTACTGATTATATAATATTTATAAATTATTAATTTGCTTAACAGATTTGTTTATTAAAAAGTTAAAATAATATATGACAATATTGCTATTGTATAGTATATATTATATTATTATTTATTATCAATAACTTTTTATTATTTTATTAGTTATATTATATTTATTATATTTATTTATTATATAAAACATATTAACATATTAACATTTGTATTAATATGTTATTACATTATATATATAAAAGTATTTTATTATTATATTATATTATTAATAAATATTACTAATATATTAAATTAACTATAATATAGTATAGTATAGTATAATATAATAAGCATGTTGATAATAACTCTATATTAATTATATTTAATATATTATGTTAGATATTATATTAACACATTCTCAAACTCAAAACCAAAACACCAAACTTAAAACACCTAAAATGTGTTTTGAAATAAGTGTTGTGTTTTCGGTTTGATGATGAATTAGTTTAAACAACACAATGATTTCCAAACGCATGATGTTTTGGTTTTGGCAAAAACACAATGAAAACAAGTAAAACAACATAGTATCCAAACAGAGCCTTAATAGGATATGTGAGTGCGTAAAAAAAGTACAAGTTAGGGTACTTAAGTGCAAAGTTTTTACTTGTGTGTTAAAATGCAATTAAAGAAGCCATTAAGTAGTCCAATTTCAATCATCGGCTAGTGAGTAAAGAAGCTCGCTCCGATACTATCAAAGACGAGCGCCCTGTTCCCTTGGTCTCTCGAAAACTACAAATCCCCCCGTTTCCCCACCTCCTCCTCCTCTCAAATTCCCACTTTTAATTTAATTAAATCCCCCTTTTTCCTCGAAAATATCCCAAATTAACGTCAAATTAGAACCAAATTATCATCATCATGGCGGTGGTTCTATCTAAATCCCCAATCTCCGCCTCCGATCTCCACCTCCGATCCGTTTCCGGTACTTTCCGCTAAATTTAGGTCGTATTATTTCGTTTTTGGGATTTTCTTTGCGTAAATTGGACCTTATATCGTTGTAATTTCTCTGATTTGGCAAGGTTGTTCCTTGAAGCCATTGAGGCGGCATTCTCTTGTAAGCATGGGATCGAGGAACTTATCGATGATTGTTCCTGTTCGGGGAAGAAGATTAGAAGGCAGTAAGAACTGGAAGAGAGGATTTTCCGTGCGAGCTAGCGTTAGGTACTTTAAATTACCTCTTTCTGCATCTTTAGTAGTAATACTCGTTTTCTTTGAACGGTGCCATTGTTGGATTGTCGATTGAGATGCCATTTTCGTGTGGTTAGAGTGAAGACAACCATTTTAGAATACGCATAAAGATTTTACCTTGAAAGGAAATGCATTTGACATTGCAGAGAAAAAAGATATGGAGTTTTGTGATGTGGCAAGGCCGAAAAAAGATGGTCATGCACCCGCCGGTAAAGACCACTTAGGGTGTGTTTCTTTAGAAGAAGTTGTAACACAATGCGTTTACCACGTCATGTAGTTCCAACTCCTGTTGTTGGAATGCTCTTTACTTTGTACGCAGCCGCAACTCCTCTACTTGTACCCTTTTGTTGTTGTTGCAGCTACCTTTTGATGTTGTGACAACGTCCAACTTAGCATTTACATTTGAAATTTGGGTGTAGTTGAACGAATATGGATGGAGCTATCTACATTGAAATCTCTTACCTAGTTTTAGTTGCGACTCAAGTTTCTTTATCACCTACCCCAAACGACCCACCCCCAAAAAAACCTCCTCTAATATATGAAAAAGTGTTAAATCAGTAGCGTCTCACTCATTTCATTTGCTGGTTTAGGCTGAAAGGCACTGAAACCACGATAATCTCACTAAAACTCAAGACATATTGGCCTCCTCTTGTGCATTGGTTAAGCAAAAATCCTATCTCAATTCGATCATTATCTATTAGTACGTGGTGAATAAAAATGCAAGTTAAGGAGGTTAGATGGCCATAATTAAAGGAGAATTGAAGATTGGATGTAGACTAATTACGTGGTAATACAAAAGGATATAATACTTGTTAATCTTTTGGAGAGGGTCATTAATAGAGCTGAGTGGAAGAAAAGGATTCTTGTGTAGACCCCAAGGCATATGTCTAAGATGCCCTAAAGCCTGCCCCCCCCCCCCCCACATATATATACTAGGTGGGATGTAATGCGTTGCACGTCGTTAAATATTTAGATTGTTCCATTTGGGTATATGTCTTTATTTTTTTGGAGGAACAGATTTGTGTCTTTACTATAACTCGTTTGTGAAATAGTTCATGGTTACCATATTCTTTATTGCACGAAATAAGATCATGATTTTAAACCTCTACTTGATGATGATAACACTTTGTAGACTAATATCAAACTTGATAGTGCATTGAATTTAGTTATGCCTTACAAATTTTAGAATTTTAATTTAACAAACATAAAAAATTCTAACTTGTAATTTTAAAACTTTGATCTAACAGACATATCCAAGAACTTTTATGATGTATAGCAAATGCATAATGGTTAATGCGATGGGAGATCCGTATTAAATTCATACTTGACAAAATTCACATGAGACCAACAAAGAAGATTAATTATATGATTCAAGACGTTAGTTTAGAAATAATAAAAATTATATATTAATATGTTACTAATTACTAATAACAAAATTAATATGATTTGTAATATGGGTAAGACACTTCTAACCAAAAGCTAACCTCCCACAAACCTACTATATTGCACTTTTAAAGCTAAATGACAACATAATTATTCAAGAAAAGCGACATCTACTAAAGAAAAACATAAGGCATCAAAGCCTTGACCTCTTTAGGGAAGTTTTAAAATTTTGAGAGATACTATTTCCTTATAGCAAAAATCCTGTCGGTCAAATACAAAGTAATGTCCAAAGAAAAAGAAAGTGCATACATAGTTTATGCAATGAAAGTAATCCCATAAGATTTTAAGATCTCAAAGAGAGAATGTAGACATATAATTCACCCAAAACAACCTCCCATTGGAATCTTGCAGCATTTGTCATCCTTTGTTCAGAATTCTTCAAATGCCATTTGTTTTTTTAAATTACACTGATTTTGTGTTAGATTCAAGGAATTGTCAGAATTTTAAATTTTGTAATTGATTCCAATCCATTGTTTGGGAATTGTTAGAATTTCGATTATCGAATTTTCAACCTTAAAGTTATTTTGATACTTCTAGATGTTAAGGTGGTTGTTTTATTTTATTTTTGTTTTTCTAGTAGGTTGTTTGCAATATTTGATTTCTAGGGAGTTGTTTGTAAGTTAACATTTTTTCATAAGGTCATTTGTAATTTTTAACTTTTTCATAGGTTTTTTCTTGATTTTCAAACTTTTTGGGGGGCTTTGTAATTTCAAATTGTGCAGGGAATTAATAAAATTTTTTTATATTTCAGAGTGTTTTTGTAATTTTCAAATTTTAACATGCTTTTGTATTTTTAAAGACGTTTCAGAGGTTGTTTGTAATTTTTGAATATTCAGTGGTTGTTTGTAGTATTAGATTGTTCAAAGCGTTGATCAAAAATTTCTGATTTTTGAGTTTTTTTATTTTCATTTTTTCAAGGTGCTTTTTGCAACTTAAGATTTTTGAAAGTCTATTTGTGTTTTTTAAATTTTTTGTGATGCTATATGTAATTACAAATTGTTCACGGCACGGTTCGATATTTCTTATTTTCAAGGTGTTTGTTTTTAATATCTAGATTTTAAGGTGTTTTTTTTATAATTTTTAGATTTTTCAAGGGGGTTGTTTGTTTTTTTAAAATTTTTAAAATGTTATCTATAATTTCAAGTTGTTTAGCTGATTGTTCAAAATTCTCAGATTTTTAGGGCGATTTTTATAATTTCAGAATATTTAGTGAGGAGGTTGTTAGTAGTTTTCAAATTTCATATTTCTACCTATAATTTCATGTCTGTAATTTTTGAATATTCAGTGGTGGTTTGTAATTTGAACTGTTTGAAAATTGCTGATTTACAAGTTGTCTTTTTGTAATTTTTGGGGTTTTCAAGTTTTTTAATAATTTTTAGCTTTTTCAAGGGGGTCATTTGTAATATTTCAATTTTTAACATATTATGTTTCAAGTTGTTTAGGGGACTGTTCAAAATTTTCATATTTTTAGGGTGCTTTTTATAATCTTTGGAATTTTTTATGAGGAGGTTGTCAATAATTTTTTAATTTTAGGGTTCTGCCTATAATTTCATATTGTTTAAGAGGTTATTCAAAATTTTTAGATTTTCAGGATTCTTTTATAATTTTTGAATTTTAGAGTGTTTTTGTAACTTTTGGGTTTTTTTGGGGGTTCTTGATGTTTGTAATTTTTAGAGTTTTCAAATGGTAATTTGTAATTTGTAGCCATATAAGGAGTTGTTTGTAAATTTTGAAGTTTTAAGGACTTTTTTGAAATTCTTGATTTCTGAGGGGTTGTTTGCAATTTCTTATTTAAGGGTGCTTTGTATAATTTTTATAATTTTAAGAACATTGTTTATAGCTTTTGGATTTTTAAAATTTTATTAAAATATTTCTTTTATGTAGGATACGATCACAAGTAATGTATTATAGATCTATTTAAAGGGTTCTATTAATTAGGATGGGATCAGAATGTGATATTTAAAAAGATCAAGGACAATATTATCCAAGGATAGTTTAAAAGGGAGTATGATAATTTGTAGCTATATAAGGGGTTGTTTGCAATTTTTAAAGTTTTGAGGCCTTTTAAAAAAAGATTAATTTCTCTGGGTTGTTTGTAATTTTCTGATTTAAGGGTGCTTCGTATAATTTTTAGATTTTTGAGAACATGTTTTATAACCTTTGGATTTTAAAGAATTTATTAAAGATATTTCTATTATTTAGGATAGGATCATCAGTAATGTATTATAGATCGTAATGTATTCTAGATCTAATTGAAGGGTTCTATTAATTAAGATAGGATGATAATGTGATATTTAAATAGATAAATGACAATATTGTCAAAGGAAAGTTTTCTCAAACTCCTAGCTTAAAAGGGAGTATAATATATATTATGAGGGCGGATTTACATGGTGCTGTGGGTGGGCAACTGCACCCCGAGGTTTTGCTTTTTATCACTTCACCCCTTGTAAATTTGAATTCTTACCCCTATATTCAAACAATTTGCCCCTCTCAAATCTGACCCAATAGCCTATTAGGCTTAACTCATTTGAAAATTAATAGGCCAATCCCAAATAGTAAAAACTCAAACCCAAAAGCCCAAATAAACATTGACCCATCAGGTACTGTAATTTTTATAATTTACATTTTTATTGTTTAGTAAATAGATTTCTGCTCAGTAAGCAAAGAAGAATAGGAACGACGTTATAAAACATATATACCGTTTGGAGTGTTCTCAGCTGAGATTTACGTAAGGGAAATGATCTAGTTAGATAGTTGTTAGTTGCTGACATGCCTTTCCAAATAACTGGAGATTATGCAAACTTGAACCTGCGTTCTGTGTTGTTTAGTTCAATTGCACTAGAGATCAAACTGTGGTTCTAAAACTGCAGATCTCATCAAGGGGTTTAAAATTATATTAGGTAAGGTATTATTTTTTTCCTGGTGCAACTTTTATTATATGTACGCGCACAGTTTGCATTGTTTTCTTTTTGTCTTGTTGTTCCATTACTTGTTTCACCCTACCTTTGTTTATTCCTTACAAATCTTTAATTCATTTTTTTTGCGTTTTATATTGCGCTTTGATACATATTGCTTTGTTGCCTTATGTTTGAGAATATGAACAAATTGATATCCTTGCTGGCTTTATGGAACTTTTGCAGTGATGGTGGAAGTCCAAACAGTTCCAATATCTTCATTGGCGGATTTGTCCTGGGAGGAATAATAGTGGGGGCACTTGGTTGTATTTATGCACCTCAGGTACTAGTATCATAGTTTATTCTGCTTCAAAACTTATATTTGCCCTTGAACATTGATGACTTGTTATCATAAGTTCATTTGATGGCAACTGGCTGTAATTTACTGCATCAACAAAAATGTCTTGTCTAAAGCAGGAACCAGACAGAAACCAGTGAATTATAGTCCGCCTTTATTTCAAGTTTTCAACTAAGATAGGATAGTTCTTATTTGGTGTCCTAAGCATGAGCTGACCATTTATATGTGGGATTTTTTTCATCTTTCTACCACTCCACCCACGAACCTTGTTGGTACTGATCAGTAAGTTATCAACTGTTCTACATGAGCATAGTTATAAATAGTAAGGTCCACATAATTGGAAAATGTACCTGGGAGCAGTTATTGATGGAGATTTACTTGAAAAGATGGTTTATTAGTGGTTATGTAATTACTAATTACCATTTTACCACCTTTTTTCTGAAAACAACACTTCCATTTCAGATTAGCAGAGCATTGGCAGGGACTGATAAAAAAGAGTTGATGAGGAAGCTGCCAAAATTTATATATGATGAGGAAAAGGCTTTGGAGGTAAGCTCTTCACCATGGCAGGGATTATATTTATTTTGTCAAATATCTTTTAAGTGTGAAGAAGCTATATTTCTTTATCCTTTTAATGTTGGACTACTGGATCATGCTGTTGTCACTCACAACTGAACATAGTGGCATAGGTCCCCCACCCCACCCCCACCCTTTAACAATTATATTTTTCTCCAGAATATGGTATTATAAGCGATGGGAAGTTGGTGAAAAGAAGCACTAAAGTTTTTCAAGATTTTCTTGCGTGCATTCCCTTATCTATTAAGAAATTCTTTTTTTGTGGTTGGGGGGGGGGGGGTTGGTGGCTAATAACTGCTACTTAAGATAATTCAAGATCTAAGTCTAACTTGCATGTATCACATTTCTCACCATAATTAATATTTACAGTCATGAAAGAAATGTGAATGTGATACTTGGCTGGAAGTTCATGCTTTGTCCCAAACTGGGCAAAGAATCATTCTAGTCCAAAATTCAGGGCTACAAGCCTGAATCTCTGAGAAAAGCATGCCAGAATTTCTCCCAATTGGACAATGAACTGTACTCAGTGAGTTAAATAATAAAGTTGATCTATCAGTACACTGGATTTGTTGTCCCTATTTGATAAACGTAGCCCTTACCTGAATCCCTATTTATTCGCGCTTTAAGCCAGATCTTCTTTTTGTTTGGATTTATCTATCCAAGTGATTGGATAGCATTTCTTAGTTCAAGCCCATTTGAACACAAAACCAAATCATGTTTTATGTGATAGAATAATGTCAAGTGAATTTAAAGGCCACACATACAATGTAGCTGCAACTTCAGTTTTTTATATGACATAGAAGTTTGAGGTTTTTATATGACATAGAAGTTTCTTTTGGCTTCAAGATTTCTTTGCTAAAATTTATATTTTTGGATAATATCCATATATTAAAAATTTGGAATTATAATTCAAGATCAAAAAGCACAATGCGTTCATCTCCGCTTATTGAAACTTTGACTAGGTAACCAGTAAATATTCTTCATCGTGTCCCTTAGAAGTAATGTCTCCATGTCATTAAACCATTTAAAATAATCAAAGTTTGCTTTCTCTCATTTTTCAGATTCCATTCTACTGCAAAGTCAAATAATTTTGTAACCTCTATTAAAAGTGAAGCAAGAGTTACTGACTTGGACCTTCTTTTATGTTTGATAACATTCAACAACATGCTTTTGTGAAAGGAAATAGTATGACAAGAACAAGTCTTCAGTATGCAATTAACTTATAAGTTTCAGTTTCGAAATTATTGAAAAGAAAGTAGTGACGGGCTTTAAGTTTTGTAGAATTTGGGAGGGAGTGATGGAAAGAGGGATTTTCCATCCATCATCCTTCAATCGCTTTCCATTTTCAACTTTTTCAAGGAAGGGTTGTGAGTAAGGGTTGGCTTTTAGAAGCACGGAGTCTTGGCTTGGATCCATGTGTCCCAGAAGCAGTCATACAGAAGAGAAATGTTCCCGCAAAAAAGAGGGGTATGAAATTTCGATCAGACCTAAGAAAGCTAATTCCATATAAGACCCATGATAAAGAGGATATTCCTGAGGAAACAAGCATGCCCCATGGTGTGAAGATAACGCCGTACAAGTTTTTGTGAACTAGCATATACTTGTGGGTTCATAATTCCTTAAAATGATAGAGTTGGAGTTTATAAAATTCTTACCTTTTGGATAATAAGTGCACCGACTCGGAACTATACTCAAAAATAGTCTAAACATGTTTTCTTTTTCATATAGAGATTCATTTATTCACTTAGGGACTCAGAACTATACTCAAAAAATAGTCTAAACATGTTTTCTTTTTCATATAGAGATTCATTTATTCACTAAGGCACTCCTTTACGGAAAAGTGTTTAACTGGCCTTTTATTCCACAACTCACGGGGAAAAAAAAAATCTACAATTTAGTTTACAGGTCAACAAAATATGATTGACTTCTTTGATGTATGTTTCTCTTTTTAAGCTTTATTTTCATTATTATTTTTTTAAGTTTGCCTACGCTTTATATATACATATAGACCCCAAACAATTGGAAGTTGGTATATGCCATGATCTAGTTTCTCATAATCAGGACAGTAATTGTTTGCAGTTGCACAGCTTTAGACCACCTAAATGATTCTCCCTCATTTTATCCTAAGTTTAAACTTTAAAGCTCTCACCCTTAGCCTATGGTATAGGTAAATGACACATTTTTGTCTTGTTCTCTATCATCTTTTCACATGATTTTCCTAGGCAACCTCATTTCTTTGTTAGCATTTATGTCCTCATAGTATTTTCAATGTAAAACCGTTGAATTTAGAGCATGAAAACTTGATGTCTGTCAGCTTCATGTCTGTTACATTTTATTCAAGAAGTTTGTTGCCTGTACAATCTTATGAGATGGGATGGATTTTTGTAAAAATCTCAAGGAGTGAACAACTATTCTTCTCTTTTTGTGTTGGTTCACTTCGACGAGTTCTTTATTTTTCAGAAATGGGCATGATATATTTTAGGGTTAATTGTCCGAAGTTACCCCTAGCTTTTGCAGGATTCTCATAAATACACTTTAAGGCTTCAAAAGTGACAGTTTGTCTCCTCCATTTGAATTTCTAAAAAGTCAAGTTGGAAATAAAAACAATGGTAATAGAATATGACACTCATCTGTACTCCCATATTAACATGTGTATGATTAGTATACTGAAAATTGTTAATTATATAAAAAATATGAATATTTGACTAAAAGTTAAAGGAGAGAAGGTAACATGTTGCTGTTAAAACCTTGTGAGAGATTTTCTATCATTTACCCCAAATTTTCATGCTGCTCAATATTGGCTAACTGTACACACACGATCTCATTGACAAAAACAGAGAACCCGCAAGATACTGACAGAGAAGATTGCACAACTGAACTCCGCCATTGATGGTGTCTCTTCTCAGTTACGAGCTGACGATGAGGCAAATGGAGCAGCAGTGGCATCCGATGAAGTCGAAGCTGCAGTGTAGAAGGTTCAAACCAGATCTCTTGTATCTTTGCTCTGGAAATAAACCCTGGAACGTTAAAAGAGGCAAATAAGTGAGCACAAATAACAAAACTCTTAAATACTTGTAGATGTGTTGTTATCGTTCTTGAAAGTTCTGCTTTGCCTATGAGAAAGTGTTACCCTGTATAATTGGACACCAGTTTGGAAAAAAAAGGGAAATAAAAAAATGGTCGCAGAAATAAACACAAATGTTCACTGCTGTCTCTTCTGGTATGGAAATACTCGAGGGGGATGATCATAGTCAATTGACATTTAAGCTTCTGTTTGTCTGAAAGATGGCTTGTGAAAATACGCTTATTATTTGAAAAGGATTCTATGACAGCAGAATTTGCCAGAAACCACAAGTTTTATTTGACAAATGTGAGGAAAGAGGAGTGAATAAAACATTCGGGATTAGTAACAAAGAATTCACAATTTGTTTTTGTTTCTTTTGCTAAGGGGCTGTTGGGTTCAAATGCCAAAGATTTTAGGATTTATAATCTCGTAGAGAATTTTAAATCCATACAGTTTTATGCATGCTTTGAGATTTCTAATATATCGTTTGGTTCAATATTATAGGAAAGTAAATCCTACATTTTGCAATATCTTGTTTGTTTTGAACCCAAATTATAGGATAACAGATTCTAAAAGAGAAGAATAGGTGAATATAGCTACCTGTGAGGTTATCTCCCACAAGAAAATAAAATACAAGGGTATGAAGAGAGGGGTAAGCATACACATTTATGGGATTTGCTAAATCCTTTCTAATCGAGAGGATTTGACAAATTCTAAAAACTATGTGCTTTTTGCATTCTTGGGATTCAACATTCTAAAAAAATTATTGAAACAAACATTAACTATGGAACCCAAAACCCAAAAAAGACAATTTATGATCCCAAAATTTATAATCCACGCAAAATGTTAAAGTTTTACTTAAACCAAGCAGGCCCTAAGATGAGAATACTGTTGCGGCCATCTCCATGTGTACCAAGTCAATTATTATAGAAGGATCTTTCTGTAATGTTTGAAGTTTAAATTGAAATCAAAATAATTTGTTTGGAAAAACGGTGCATTAATCTCTTCATCTATCCGTTTCGTGTAGTCCATCTTGGCAATTACGAAAAATAAGTATCTCTTATTATTACTAGCACATTGGCACGTGAAATGCACATGTGAAAATGTTAAATACATTTTTTTAAATCAGAAATAGTTTTACAATTATCTTATATTGCACATTAATAGTTTGATGATGGTTTAATTTATGTAATTTTATTATAGACCGAGAAAATGTATCCTAAAGTGTTATATAGCAATTAAATATATTCTTAACACAATTTTATTAAGTAGTTTTCTTAACGAGGATAATATAATTGGTGTGAACGTGGGTGGGGTCTACCACGTTCACGAGACGCGGTTTGTTTCCGCGTGAATTTGTAAACGAAGCCGGCCCACGAACGTGAACTGCTCCCTATATAAACAATATTTTATTAGGTTTTTTGGGTACGCAAGGGGAATTGTTTTTGCGGCGGGGAAAAGCAAAGGCGTGCAAGGCAGTTTTCTCTTTTGCGGCTGAGGCAGAGGGAAAAGTGCAGGGATTGCAGCAGAGGTTTTGGGTATTTTTTAGCAGGAGATTTTTTTTGGTGCAGTCCTTTTGTGCAGCCTTTTGTGGAGAGATAATGTGAGGGATTTGAGAGTTTGTTTGAGGGTTTAGTTTGTGAGTGATTGTAAACCCTAGTTGTAATCTCTCCCTCTATTAGTAGATCTCCCCCCTCCTTGCCCCGTAGACGTAGACAATTTGCCGAACCACGTAAAAATTGATTGTATCGCTTTTGTGTGATTTGTAATAGCTTTTTAGGTTCCCTCGACGCGCAGTCTTAGAGCTGACGAGAGGAAGAGCTAATATCCCACTTTGATGGGATATTAGGCTTTAGATTCTTGTTCCCTTTGAGAAACAAGATATCCCACTTTGATGGGATATTAGGCTTTAGATTCTTGTTCCCTTTGAGAAACAAGAATTCTTATTGCCACCTGACTCTCTTGTTGTGTTGCCGAAGTGTTGCCGAAATTTCCGCTGCGCGCAACAATTGGGGTACGTGATTAAAATGAAAAAGGAAAGTGAGAATATTGATGATTTATTGTGTGAGTATTCACTGTATTCTCATGTCATGATTTAGAATGTTCTAGAAATAAGAAAGATCAAAGGAAAAGAAAGAAAAAGAAATAAAACTTCTGTTAAAAAACTACAATTTTTATTATATGAGTTCCTATCCTATTCTCATGCTATGATCTACAGAAATAAGGGAAAAAAAAGAAAGAAGTGGAAAAAATCTATCTGTGAAATTACTATTTTCATCCTCTCAAACTATAATAACTAGAGGAAAATATCCTCCATTCATCCAGCTTTCACTACCCTCAAGAAGTTTTTTATATATTAGTATAGATGAAATTTCCTTTTTTTTCTTTTCTCCTTCATGAAAGTTTTGATGAAAGTTTATGAGTCTTTTTCTCTTTCTTTTAACAAAAAAAAAAAAAAAAAAGTTCGGGTCTAAAACAACACCATCAAGTTAGTTCTAACCCGTACCTTCTTAGTTCTAGCCCGCACCATGCTAGTTCTAGCCCGTACTATGTCTCGCATACCCCCGAAATGTGTAATAAGCATCACGCCACAATTTCTCTTTTCTCAAAGTTGAGGTTTCCACTCATACATCTTAAACATCCTTGAGCTATAAATTAAGCGTAATGCTATGAGGACCTAAAAATGTAAAAGGTCGGTGGGACATATTACATGATATGCTTATGTGTCATTCGACTATGATGAGCTGCCAATATTAAGCATTGTCTTCAATAACTCGATAGACGTAGAAGTTTTTGTTTCGCCACCGCCTCTCATCCACAATGTCATCGCCATTAAGAATGGCAACGCTAGAATATAAAGACGATATAATAGAAGCAATTCAAATGATGAGATTTACTTTTTTAGAAACTTATAAAGACGATATAGTATTTAAAAAAAAAGGCTTTTGGTGGCTCTGATCTTCCATTTGTGGTTTATAATCTTCAATCATGGTCGGAAGAGGATGTTTGTGATATATCTAAAAAGAGCTTTTAAATAAAAATCGAAAAGGGATTTTTTTAAACCAAAAGTACCCTATTTGTTTTCATGAGTGGCCAGCTGGGATTATGCCGACTCTCCTGTCCCTTGTAAGGGTCTTGAAATTTGGGTCCATAAAAAAATCATGGGAAAAATGTGTCCATGCCCCAAAAGCAGAAACTTCATGTGACGAGGCCTCTCATAGTTTCCCCATGTGGATTAGCCCCTTGAAGTGTGACACTTTGTACTACAGGCCCTTTTTAGAAATTATTACATGCCAGCTAAACTAATATCCCCAAATTATCCTTATCCTCTCTCCTCAATCCCTCAAACCAGCTCTCTCTCTCTCTCTCTCTCCTCTCTCTCTCTCCTCTCTCTCTCAAGCTCTCAAGCTCCATTCTTGCCCGCGACTACGCCCTTCATGACGACGTCGGGCTCTCATCTCCCCCCCCTCTCTCTCTCTCCCTCTCTCTCTCTCTCTCTCTCTCTCT